ATGGTGGGGGACACGTCGGGGACGTCTTCCTTGAGGGGGCTCAGCGAGAGCCCGCCCGCCTGCTTGTCGTGCGCGGGGCCGGCGCCGTCGTGCGCGGCCTTGCCCGCGGCCCCGCAGTTGGGCTGCTGGTTGGCGTTGGCGCCCGGCTCCTCTCCGGCCTCCCCCCCCCGGGGCCGGGGGGAGGTTGGCGGGCCCCGAGCTGGCCGGGGACATCATCTCCAGGGTCTCCTCCTCGGAGCTGCCGCAAGGGTCCTCGCCGCCCTCGGGGCAGTGGTTGAGCAGCCCGGTGGGCGTCAGGTCGAAGTTGACACTGCGTTCGCTCCTGGGCGTCTTGGCCAGGGGCGACGGGGGCCCCAGGGCCTTCAAGGGGCTGCTCTCGAGGTAGCGGAAGCGCTGGGGGCTGTCGGGCTCCTCCAGGCCGTTCTCCACGCAGCCCAGCTCCGCGCGCGCCCCGCTCTCCGGCGGGGACGGCTCCAGCTCGCTCTCCGCCGTGGTGATGCCTTCATCCGTCGAGTCCTCCTTCCTCCTCCCCTCCGCCCCGGGCGACGCGGCCCCCCGGCCCTGCTCGGACTCCGGCAGCAGGTCCTCGGGGGAGGACGGCTTGGAGCCGTCCGAGGCCCCCGGCTCCTTCTTGCCACCCGGCTCCTTGGGCGCTTTGGCCTTGGGCTTCTCTGGCTCCTTCTTGAGGGTGGATTTCTTCATGCTCCCGGTTTTGGCCAAGGGTTTGCGGGTGTCCGGGACGGGCGTTTTCCGGGCTGGGGGTTTTGCAGCAGTTTTGCTCTCGGCCTTGCTGTCCTTCACATCCTTTCGCAGCGTATCAGCCTTCACTTCCTTCTTCACTGTCTTCACCTCCTTCCTGGTTTCACCCTTCACCTCAGTCCCATCTTCCTTCTTCACCGGCTTCTTCTCTTCTTTTCGGGGAAGAGGTTCCTTCTTGGGCAACGTTTTCTCTTTACTCACCTTCAGTTTCGCATCCACTTTGAGCTTTTCCATTGAGGAGTCCAGCTTGGCTCGAGCATCCTTGGCTCTCTCCTCTTCCGACCCTGTTCTAGTTGCCTCCCCCAGAGATTTCGGTTTCTCCTTGGTCCCCGACTTCACCTCCTTCCTCTCTGTCTTTAGAGCCTTTTCCTTTGGCGCTGGTGTCCCAGCGTCCACCAGACTCAGCTTGGAAGCAGATTTCAGGCTCTCCCTGCTCTCAGCCCTCTTCTGCTTGAGCTGCTTCTCGGGCTGGGGTGCAGACAGCCCCTTCAAGTCGTTCTTGGTGACCACGGGGTGCTTGAGGAACTCCAGGTGCTTGACCTTCTCCAGCCCCTCCAGGATGCGGGCCTGCGGGGTGCAGCCGGGGAAGAGCACCCGGATGATCTTCTCGGAGGGGCTCACGGGGTGCCACACGAGCAGGGCGCAGATGGAGGTCAGACACTGCAAGGGCAAGTCCTGCTCCCTGGGGTAGCTGTTGCCCGACCAGTGCTGCATGAGGAACTCCAGCTCCTTGGTGCCCTTCACGGGGTTCAGGACGTACATGTCCAACCGGCCGACTCCCATTTTCTGGAAGAGGACAGTGGGCTCCACGCGGGGGGAGCTATCCCGGGCCAGCGGGTTGGGGCGGATGCCCAGCTTGTCCAGGTAGTGCAGGGTGAGGGCGGCCTCGTCGCAGCTCTTCAGCACCTGCGAGTTGCCCTCGATGTCCTTCAGCTTCTCGGAGGCGTTGAGGAACACGACGCCCAGCTCCGGGGAGATGAGGTTCTTGGCCCAGTCGCCCTGCGAGCCCTGCGACGGGTCCTCCTCCAGCTCCGCCAGCTTCCTCTGCAGGAGGCTGTTGATGCCGGGCAGGCTGTCGGTGCCCACGTGGGTCACCAGGATGGAGTCGACGCGGTCCAGGTGCCGGACCAGCTTCCAGAAGGACGACTTGGGGTTGGAGCCGCCGTTCACCAGCACGTTGAAGCCGTTGACCGCAAAGAAGGCCGAGTCCCCCCTCCCACCCGGGAAGATATAGCAGCAGGGCTTGGAGAGCTTGAGGAAGCCGACCATGGTGGGAGGCTCGAGGAGCTCGAACGGGGACTGGGGCTCCAGGGACTCCGAGAGGTACTCCAGGAACTCCTCCAGCCCCTCCATCTCCGGCAGGATGCAGCCCGGGTTGTAGCGCAGCTCGATGAAGTCCTGGAGGTTGTGATGGTCCAGAGCCGAGTCCTTCCACTCTCCGAAGTCAGGGCAGCTGATGGTCAGCCGGGCCTTGGCAGAGGGGTCAGCGGAGCTCAGCATCTCTCCCACCTGCGAGGACACGGGGACAGCCAGGATTCAGGCCTTGCTCGCCCACACGGGGCAGCCCCTCGGGCAGCTCTGTGCTCCCTCCCCAGCGAGCGCAGGGAGCCCCTTCCCCTGCCCAGCGCTCGGTGCCCACAGGGCATCGCCCCTCCGGGCTCTGCCAGGCTCCTGCCTCGCTCCGGCTCCGCGCGGAGACGCCGCGGACGGGAGCAGACCCCCCCGGCCCCGCACCTCCTTGTCCGTGAAGATCTGGATGAAGTCCCGCAGCGAGAAGCAGCCCGTCTGCAGCATCAGCTCGCCCGTCTCCTCCACGCAGGGCCCCGCGAACACCAGCAGCTTGTGCTGGGACACGTCCGTGACGAGGTTTCGCAGCTGGGGACGGGAGGGGACGGCCGTGAGGACGCGGCGTCCCCGCCTGGACCCTGTCCTGCGGGGTGGGGTGGAAGGGGACCCGGCCGCGTCCCACGGCCCAGCCGCTCACCTCGTCGCACAGGGACTTGTCCGAAGGGTTGAGCAGCACCAGGGTCTCCAGCACATCGCCCCGGTGGTGGAGGGTCCGCTGACCTGCGGGGAGCGAGGGCTGACGCCCGGCCCAGCACCCGGGGACCCCGGGGGACACCCCGCAGCAGCGGGGACAGAGCCTGCCCGTTCCCACGGCGCAAGAGGGACACCACGAGCCCGGTGCTGGCCGTGAGCCGAACGCCGCGGGGCCGGCGGATCCGCGTTTCCTTGGGCCCTTCCTGCTGCAGGGAAGGGAGGAAGACAGGGCTGGCCAGGCCAGGGCCATCCCATGCTCTCCTCTGCGAGCGGGGCTGCACAGCCAACGTGTCACCTGCCCACCCCGTGTCCTGCCCTGGGGTCACCATGTCCCGGCACCGGCAGGACAAGGGGATGCAGAAAGAAGATGTTTTGCGGAGCCGCGTGGCCTCGGACACGGGCTTCCTGGCTACGTTTCCCAAGGAAACCTCAGCGCAGGGCACAGCCAGACCCCAAAGAGCATCGTGTCCCCAGAGGTGACGCCGAGGTCCCGTCTCAGGCTGGGCCGGGTTGCCTGGGGACGCTGCCCCATGGAGGGTGAAGGAAGCGGTTTTGCCACAGGCACGTGGGGACCACGGGACTCGTCCCACAGCCGCCAGCCTGGCTGGCCACAGCCCGGACAGGGCCCGAGGGCTCGGCCGACGGGTCCTGCTTCAGCTGAGCACCTCCCCACGAGGGACGGTGACAGGGTGACGGGAAGGAGGAGGAGAGCACGGCAGTTCCTGCTGCAGAACCCCCATCTCACTGAGTGCCCCCCAACCAAACCCTCCCCAAAAGAAGGGGGAGCCGGGAGCTCCTTCGACCCCCTTTTCCCAGCTCAAGAGCCAGGATCATGGGCACTACATCCGCTGTGGATATTCCACTGGCGGAATCCAGCGGATCCCGGCGGAGACGATGCGTGTGGAGCCCTGGATGTGCCGCTCCACAGCGGAGCGCGGGAAGGGCCCCCCGGAGCCGCCACGCACCAGCCCCGGCAGCTGCTCGGCACAAAGCAGAGCCTGTTCCCGGCGGGAATGGCGCCCACCCGGGCACGGGCTGCAGCTGCCGCCGGCTCCCTCCCCGCGTTCCCCGC